CGTGGTCCCCTTGACAAATCCCCTGACTTCTCAATTGCAAAGTCTTCAACCTCCACAGCATCTACTATTCTTTGCCCTCCTTTAGTCCTCAAGCTTTCTTCTCTCCTTGATTATCTTTCACTGTATCTTATTCTTCTCCCTAAATATTAGAGGATTCAATTTACTCCTCTCTCTTCTTTGCTCTTTTCCCCCCACCCCATCCCATTTTGGTTCATTCTTTGAAACTGTTTCTTCACCTGCTCCTTCAACTCTCGCTGCCCCACTGTTTCTGGCCTGATTACTCCATCTCAACAGCTTCTAACACCTTTCCCTAACTCTAGAGTTTTCCTTTTGCAGTTTGCATGGCTGTTAAATCCTGCTCCATCCTATTCTCCCACACCAGAATGATCCTCCCAAGTGAATAGCCTCTCTTGGCCTATCAAATGAAATCCCAAGTCCACAGGTCCTGGACATCTGCCTGCCTTTTTTTGTTTGTTTGTCCCCTGCTTCCATTTCCTGCTTAGCTTCCAGCTACTCATAATACTTATGCAGACTTCCAATTGCCATTCCTCCTGGATTCCTCTTATTCCAGGGTGGGGAGTGAGACCGATGAGGTGCCTAGGGTTCAAGATTTAAAGCTGCACTAGATCGCAAGGTTGTGCACAAGTTCCTCCTTAAGTTTTGGACGCTATGCACGTCACTGACCTCCCCCTCACTCCAACCCGGTTGCATTTTTCCATTGTGAATTTTTGCTAGTAATTCTTTTCTCACAACACTCCACCTGCCTCCTCCCACTAATTCTGCCTTCAAAATATCCCTGCTCTTCAAGATTCACCTTTTACAATTACTCTAATTGGAAGTAATGACTTACTTCCTCTGAGTCCCCTGAGTCCTCTGGATCTACCTCTCTTGGGACACTTGTGAAATATTGTTGGGTTTTTTTTTTAACATTTAAAAAAATTTTTTTAAATTGTAGACGGGCACACTACCTTTGTTTTATCTATCTATCTATCTATCTATCTATCTATCTATCTATCTATTTTACGTGGTGCTGGGGATCCAACCCAGTGCCTCACATGTGCTAGGCTAGTGCTCTACCACTGAGCCACAACCAGTCCTGCTACTTTATTTTTAGTACTTGGAATGTAAGTCTTATCTCAACTGTTAGATTCTGAGCTGCTTGTCTTACATCTCTATATTTCCTGAATAACTTCCTCTATGCTTGATATATAATAAGAAATCAACAGTAAGTACTTATGAGTGACTAAACTGCCATCAGTGGGGACAAGGGATCTTTGATGTCCTCACAACAAATCAACAACAGCTACTGGGAACATGGAGGGATCACACTAATTCCTATAAAGTACATCATAGACATCCCCCAGGGCCCTTGTTACACCCCTCAGATACTGCTAGTCAATCATGGCACTCTTTTCTCTCTGAACATGGATATGGCATCTGAGCCTGGTCAGCACAGTACCAAAGAGCCACCTCCATTGATTGGAGTTCACAATGGAGAATGAGCTTTATTTTTTCCAGCTAGATCTAAGGGCCCCATTTTACAGAGGAGGAAACAAAGGCCAAGAGAAGTCCAGAGATAGAATCAGGTAGAGCAATTCCTGAAAACAGCTAAGTAGCCAATCTAGGCACAGCATACATTCATCTACAGCACTGCATGATACTTTGCTAGAAGCCCCTGTGAGATCTTAACCAGATCTTTAGTCCTACTTCATTGGTTCCAAAAACCAATCTTGAGACTCTGGGAACTTGGGGACTCTCCACTCAGTTCAAGAGTGACTCCTTGAAATTTAGAGATGTACTCTTCATGTCAGGTCAATTTCACCATGTGGGCCAGCAGAAGGCCGAGGGACCAGGCAGGTCAGGGGTGAATCCCACTTCTGTATCTATTAGCAGGCAAGTCACATCTGTGAACCCCAGCTGCAAAAACCTATAAAATGGGGATAGTTAGACTCATCGCACAAGGTGACTGCAGGGGACCCTTGAAGATAGTCAGTAAATGTGAGTCTCCCCTTCCTTGCAGTGTGGGGAAGTAAGGACATTCAGGGGGCCTCTTTGCTCTTACCCTCCACAAACACAAACACTTTCTCCCCATCTCTAAGGTAGGCTTTCCTTTTGAGGTTATTTAACTGAGATATACAATACGTTAATGAGTATTAGTCTGCCAGTAATCATTTATAAATTATAATACTAAATTGAAAGAAAGAAGTGGAACTTCTTCCTTAATCCTGGACTGTCATCCCCAGTGCTTAAGCCTCAGGCACAGTGGTTTTCAGCTGGTCTGTTCTAACTTAGGGGCCTGTGCTGAGCTCTGCAGAGGTGACTGGGACTGTGGACCAGGGGAGCACTGTGTCAGCACCGGGTGTGGACATGATTGTGCTTCTGACTAAACACAGGTAAAAACATCCTGCTTCCCCAAACTTGCCCTACCCAGGCAGGTTGTACACATGGCTCCCTTTTAGACTTTCCAAAATTGGATGCGACAGAAGCCTGTCTTCTAGTAGCCTTTCCCTCTTCACCCCCCAATAAAAGATGTATCCCATCACAAGATAGTGATTTCCAAACTTTTAAAATAATTTCCTTACCCGGTATATCCTGGGGAAAAAAAAATCAGGCTATTTTTTTTAGGAAAAAAAAAGAAGATAAAAATAACCCATAATCCCACAACCCCCCAAAATGTCTGCTTAACATGATGATGCATATTTTAAACATAAATATATAATATGTATTTTAAAATGAGAATCTTGTACCTATTTCAATTTCTCAATTATTTGACTTAAAAATCACTAGTGAAAAATTTTAGTATTAAAAGTGAGTCTTCCATTCCATCATCTCTACTGGCATTAAGCCCATCATATATGCTCATGTACTTGGTAACCTCTAAGATAGCTCTTATTTTTATAATATTAATATGACTATAATGAATAGTAAATTAAACATGCCTGTATTAATTCTCTTGGGGTAAATTCTAAGAAGCATAATTATTGACCAAGTATAATTATTGACCATTTGATAGATATTGTCTTGTTGACCTATAAGCATCCCTCTCCTATAAAAGATATTTCAGGGGATACATGTGGTAGTTTCTTTATTTTCAGTAGCTATTAATTGAAGAAAGCATAGTAAAAAGCCACCATGATTCAGTTTTGATGATAAATTAAGTTGTACTAAACACAATAGAATCAGTATACATTTTTAAAACAAACCATTTGTATTCAAAACATATTACTTGCCCAATCCACCTGCAATCCTTGGAATGCTCAGGACCTTGCTCGCCACTTGCAGCTGCTATGGATTTTCAGAATTGTATTCTGTGGATCCAGGTCCCCCAAACAGTAGGTCTCACATATAAATTTTTTGTCCATTTCTCAAAGAGTTATCTTAAGGGCCATCTTCTCTAATAACTGCTCATCTCTTCCTGTAGTTTCTGCCTGCAATGATGGGACTGTCTGGAGATTCTTGACTGGAAAGAGAAATGAAAATCAGGACCTGTGGATGGAGACTACAAGTAGTATGGAGGAAGGGAAGAGGAGGTGTTTGTTTCAATAAATAATCACTTTAAAAGCATCCACACTACTTGAGTTATTTGGTGAGAGGTGGCAGTGAAGATAAGGAAGGTGAGGAGGAAGATACATGACATTTGTTGAATATTTTCAATGCAACAAGGAATATGTTAAATTCTTCGCAAGCATTATCTAAGTTATTCTTTTTGTGGGGAGGGGGGAAATGCCAGGGATTGAACTAAGGGGCACTCAACCACTGAGCCACATCCCCAGCCCTATTTTATATTTTATTTAGAGACAGGATCTCACTGAGTTGCTTAGCACATTACCATTGCTAAGGCTGGTTTTGAACTTGAGATCCTCCTGCCTCAGCCTCCTTACAAGCATATGCTACTATGCCCAACTTCTAAGTTATTCTTACAACAATCTTTTGACTATACTTATCATGACCATTTCATAAGTAAGAAAAGAGTTTGGGTAAATTTAGTAATTTGCATAAAATTAATTACATAATTTCATAAGATAGGTGTTGGGGCCTACACTTTTATCCTGTGTCAAACTCTGAGGGATAGGCATTATAACACAGTAATTAGAACCATCTACTCTGAATTTCAAACCAAGGCACACATGCAGCTGTGTGGCCTTCAGCAAATATCCTGACATTTTTGTGCTTCAGTTTCCTCATTTGTACAATAGTATAGACATCATAGACCTACAAAGAGTTTAGTTCTTGTACAGTGCTTGGCATAGTGCCTGACATAGTGGTCCCAACAGTTGGTTCCCCATATCCAAACAGGTTCTGAATCCATAGATTCAACCAGCTGCAGGATGAAAATATGTGGAACAAAAAAAAATTGTGCCTGCCACCAAATGTGCAGACCTTTTTTTTTCTCATTATTCTTTAAACAATATAGTATAACAACTATTTACATGACATTTACATTGCAATAGATATTATGAGTAATCCAGAAATGACTTAACTACATGGTAAGATGTCTGCAGGTGATATGCAAATACTATGCCATTTTATATAAGGGACTTGAGCCTTCTCAGATTTTGATATCCTCAGGGGAGTCCTAGAACCAATGAATCATGAACTCCAAGAGATAACTATATTCAATAAATGTTTACTACTATTACTATTATTGTTTTTACCAAATAGATGGGCTGTTGACCCTTAATTTTACAAGAATCTAGAACAAGACACAAGGCCAATTCTCCTTCCCAGTCTCTAGTTTCTAGTTTTAATCTGGATATTGAAAGTCAGCCCCTCATTTCTGTTTTTCCCCCCATTACAAAAAATATGGGAGGTAAAAATGTCTAATAATTTCTTGTTTATGTTCTTCATAATCACAGACCTAAGACTTAGCTGGCCTAGGTTAAAGTCTGATTTTGACCAATGCTGTTAATGTGGAACTTGACAAACTATTTAAGCTTTCTAGCATTATTTCATTCACTATAAAGAGAGAAAATAATAATATCTCATCATTTGAATGCAAAATTTATAAAAATTCATACTTTACAAAGCATTTTCATAAAAAGTGCCATCACCCAATAGATGAAAACTAGAGGGCCCTGGATAAACAATTAAAACAGTGAATTTACTCATTTTATCAACAAGTATAGGTGTATGCCTACTGCATCCATGTGCTTGCTAGCACTGAATATACAATGGTCAATGACACAGACAAGATTTGTGCCTTCATGAAACTCACATTCTAGAAGAGGAAACAGATAACATGTAAATAAACAAACAAACAAAAACAATAACTACAGATTATCATAAATAAAAAATATACAAGGATGTGAACTAGAGTGGGGGTATGCAAGCTTGATTTACGTTGCAAATGTGAAAGAAATGCAATTCCAGAATAAGGTTCCAGATCAGCCAATGAAGAAGTTAAAAGGGAAATGGCTATAAACTTGTTTAACACTCCTTACAGCTCCGCAATCACTCTAAGACTATTTAAATGTTGAGAGTACCAAGGATCAAAGATGTGTGAGGAAATTTTCTTGGGAGAGACTGTTAGTTTTCATAGTCTCAGAGTTGGAGGTGGGTGTTGGGGTGCTACTGTCTAACCTCAAGTCAATGAAATGGGCTTTCAAAAGTTTCCCTGAGAGCTTGATAAATTTTTCCTTCAGTTGCTGATCACCATGAAATAGGAATATTTATTTCTATCCACAAGGATATAATCTATCATGACTCAACAGATTGACATTGGTATACTTTACAATATCTGGGTCATTCAATATTAAATAACACTATATATGGGTAATCTATGTTGTAGCCTACTACAAACCCCTCTAAACCCAGATTATTCCCAGTCTCTTCACACCAACTCCAGTATGGTAAGGACCAGGCCTTACATCCTTCTATCCTAGGGTGTTGAACATCTCTTAAGCACTACTTCAAATACTTTTGGTCTTAAACGCTTAGAACCATACTTACAGCAATGGTTTACCTCAGTAAACTATTTAGTAGTGGTTGTCAAATATAACTTGTCAGAACCTTGCCTCAAACATATACTCTATATCCCAAACCATCTCAGTTTTGCCTCAGGGCTGCTTTAACTACGCAACAGGAGACTCCTCTAGGAAACATTGCACATCGATGCATGTTAACTACAGAGCTAATGCCTAGCCAGGTGATAATTGACAATAGAGGTCAAAAGCTGGCAGATATATGCTTCTGTCCTCCATTCCTCAGGAGGGAGTTCTGAGAGCATTCCATAAGATTTCTCAGAAATTCCAGAGGATTGGGCTGGGGCTGTAGCTCAGTGGTAGAGCACTTGCCTCGAAGGTGTGAGACCCTGGGTTCAATTCTCAGCACCACATATAAATAAATAAGATATTGTGTCCATCTACAACTAAAAACAAAAAACTCCAAGGATTGAGTGATAAGAAACTTCTTGCAATGCCCAACTCAATAGCATATATTTGTATTGATTCTCCTTCCTTCCCTGTTTATTCCTGAATAGATGACTCACATACCAATCTTGTCTGAGGCTCTATTTTGAGGGAGTCCCAACTAAAACATCTAGAGACTAGTTTCAGCTTTTGATCGTCTCTGAGAAAATGCTTGAACAGTATCACAAATACACATGCATACATGCACATATATAACACTTATGTACACTTATTCCAAGAATGAACAATAATATACAAGCATAATGGAATCTAAATCCAAACAAAAAAATAAACATTTTTCCCCAAAGAAGCTCAAATTCTTCAAAGAACTAGCTCTGCTAAAAAGCACATTCACAATTTTCAATGATGACCAGTGTTTTATTCTGAGGATAAAATATGTATATTCAGATGACTTCAAGATTTTTCCAGGAGCCAGAGGTGAAGATTTGTAGAACTCAAAAGTCCTAAAGATGCTTTTCTCAGTCTACCCAAATGTGAATGTCCAGTCTTCACCTCCTGGGTGACTGAAAACTGATCATTGTTTAAATGGCTATTTTACTTCCCATTCTCGCCTTCAAGCTTTCAGAAAATCTTGGGGTCTCCAATGCCAACTAGGTCACCCCCAGGCAGGTTATATTTTCTATAGTTCAATTTAAACTTCAAAATTACTTTCCTAGTGGTGAGAGGTGGCTCTAAGAACACTCACTGTCAGAAGAGAAGCAAAGGGAACAAAGAAACAGTCAGCTGTCACCAAAGTACTGGAAAGCTGCCCTATATTTTATTGGCCAGATTTTAATCACATAGATGGAATCAATTGCAAGGAATACTGGGTAATGTAATCTTTAGTCAGGGTGCATTTGTGCTTGGGGAAAAATCAGGGGTTCTAACACGCTGTAAGAGGAGTAGAAGGACTTCTGAGAACCAGCAGTTTCCGCCACTGCCATTTACTGCAACCCTTCTCCAACTGCAGCCCTAATCTGAAACTCTAGTACTCAACAGGACTGTCAGCCCTGCCCAAAAACAAACTTTCTGAGAGGACAAATAGAGACTCCACTTTTCAGCCTGCGCTCAGAAGAGGTGGGCGGGCGAAATATTTTTAAGCTGATTTCAGAGAGCACCTGCAGGGTACCCGGCTGAAGGGTACAGCAGTCATGGAAACCTCTTCGTTGGCCTGCCTTTCTGGTCCATATTAGGCATTCCGGAACTAGATTGCAGAACCCGGGAATGCCCCGGAAGTATTTTCCAGGGGCCTTACATAGGGAAGATGGCGGCGGTGCAAGTTGCCGGCTCGCCGTCGTGCGGGCAGCTACGAGAGGCTCCGCGGGAGCCGCCCCCTGAGCAGGACAATGGGTTCCGCCGGTTGTCGGCCAGGCTCCGCGCCCTGCGCCCGGATGACAGCAGCTCCGCCCGCACCGAGATCCACCTGCTCTTTGACCAGCTCATTTCCGAGAACTACAGCGAGGGCGGCGGCGTGGCCGCAGAGGTAGGCGCCTCGCCTGTGGGAGACCGGGAGCCGCGCTGTTGCCACGGCCCCACCCTCAGGGAACCCAGCTGGTAACTCCAGCCTGCCTCTCCTGGCTGTTCTCACCCAGCGCCCCGATGACTTAAATCCAGGCTGGCTTGCTCCCTCCGATCCTGGCATATTCTCTGCTGTCCTCCGTCTGAAAGATTCTGCAGTGGTTGGCAAACTCTCGTCTTTCAAAGCCCAGTTTGATGATTTCTGCTCTAACACCTCGCATCTGGCACCACCTTTCCATTCTCACGCTCCACTTTCATTCTATGCATCCCAAACGCTTTTGTCAATTAAATTCATAACTACTGTTTATTTAATGTGTACTTTACCATGAACCATTCCAGGAATCTTAAAGTGTGCATAATTATTAGGTCGGTTTTTTTTTTTTTTTTTTTTTGCCGATGGAAACATTGAAGTTCACAAAGATCCATTATCACGTTGTTGGCAAACAACAGCTAGAAGTGGAGCCTCAGTCTGTAACAAAGTCCCTGTATTTTCCGTTCTTCCTCTACCCCCTCTGCCTCCTCTTTAGAAGTTCTTTTCGCTATCCGAGAAATCTTTTTTATACACACCAAGTCTTGGATATCACTTAATAATTTTCTAAACACTTGAGCCACAGCCTTCTCATGCTCACAGGCAACTCA